GTGACTGCAATGGCCGGAGCTGAGCCAATCCAATCCCAGCAGCCAGAAGCTTCTTCCTCATCTCCCATGTGGGTGCAGGGTCCCAAAGCTTTAGGCTTTAAGCTAATAGAATTGCTTTCCCATACCACAGAGAGATGGAAGCCACGTGGAGCAGCTGGGACACAAACCAGCAGACTCCTAGCACAGGCAAGGCAAGGACTTAGCCACTGAGCCCCAGTTCCTGGGGCTCATGAAACCAGCCCCCATCATGCACGTGGGTCCCAGGATCTGAGCCAAGCTATCTGAGCTCTGCCAGATCTCCTGTCCCTGGGACTCATGAACCTGGCCACCCCCCGCCCCCACTGGACCCAGGCTGGCATGACTCGCTTCACCCCAGCATACACAATCTTATTGCGCAGCCTGCCCTGGTCTAGCCTGCCCCGATTCCAGCTCCTGCTGGTGGGTGCTGCAGCCTATCCCAGCCCAGCCTGATTGCTGTCCCAGCCCTAATGTGAACTGGCTGGTGTTGTAGTTCCATCTGGATCCTCCTGCCCCCTGTCCTGGTTCTCAGATCTGCCAGTGGGTGTTATGAACTGGCTCAGACTGATCTATCCCCAGACCTGATCCATATGTATGCCAGTGAGTACTGTAACCTCGTGTCCTCTGGGCTGCTCCTTGCCTTGCTTCTTGGGTTCACCTGCAGGAACTGCATCCCGATGAAGGAGTTTTCCAAGCACCTCTATTGAATCTTCCCAGTGGCAGTTCTTTTGTACACCAGTAGGGTCCCCGGCCCAGGCTGACTGTCCACCTCCTGTTCTAGTGAGGACAGTGGCCTTGCTCAACCAGCCCATACCCATTCTGGTTTTTGCAGCCCAGTGATACCTGGTCCGTGCCCAGACACAGCTTTCACATGGTCCAGCAGGAATCAAGGCTGTTCCACATCCAACCTGGCTCTCATGAGTACCAGTGGGGGCCGGTGCCTAGCCCAATCTGTCGTTCCCCAGACCCAGGGCATACCTGCACTGGTGGAGGCTGTAGCCATGTCCAGTCCAGCTTGCTGCCCCCAATTCTACTCTCATCTCCACCAGTGGGAATGCCAACCTGGCTGGGGCATCCCCTTAGCTCCTGTCAGGGCTGTTCCTATCCGCAGTTCTTGGGCAAGCCAGCAGACTGCAGTTCAACAGGGATGAGCCCACATTTCCCCCACATATTCTGCTGTCAGACCCACTTCTTTGGCTTTTGTTCTCCCCTCCAAACCAATTTGGTGTTAGTCCCCTACTGACACACACATGTTATAGACTTGTCTATGGAAGTCCCTCAGCTGTAATTCCCAACCTGGGTATAAAACCACAGGTTATCACTCACTGCCACCTGTGTAATCCTGTCATACCCCTGCAAATCAAGACTCCTCAAACTGCAAGGGTGCAACGCTGGGCAGCCCAGGCACCAAAGGCACTGGGTGAAGCTCTTCAGGCTGCCCAGCCCTTCTGGGGGAGCCACATGGCTCAGCTACATGTACTCATGTGGATCAAAAAAACTTCCAGGATGGGTGGTCCCAGAAGCCCACTGAGCATCCCTTCCCCAAGGGAGCCAGTGTGCTCAGTTGTGTGTACCTGCGCTGGTTAAAAAGCCTCCAGGCTGGGGGTCCTGAAGGCCCAGCGCGAGCTCCCCTCTCCAAGGCAGCCCCATGGCCTGGCTGCAAGCACCCCCGCCTCCAACTTTCTTTAAAGATTCTAATTGCAGAAACAGAAATCCTTTAAGCAACACTTTAGAATTCATTACCTTTAATAGTAAATCACTTCTCATCAAAACCAAGAACAAGAAAATGCATCAACTCCATCATCAAATACATTGATAGATATTCCAGCCAATAAAGTAAGACTAAAAAGACAACACAGTTGGTAAGAAGCTTACAAAATGGCATTAAATAAAACTGAAAACATGTCACGTTACTGATGGGAAGAGGATGTAACAGAAAATGTTTTTGCCCATAACATTTTAGTACTGGAACACTTCTATTTAACACTTAATGTTTGGCAAAATTAATACATTTTATTGAAAAGAAGCAAGCAAAATACACAAGGAGATTCACAAAGGGTAATAACAAAATAGCAATTCTGACAGGTAGTCAATATATTTTTAAGCAAAACAAAGTGACACTGCCTTAAAAAAATAGAGCACTATTGATAGAAAAACAGAGAAAGCTCCCGAAAGAACTCAACTCACTATATCCATTTCTCTTTTGGCTGCAGGCACAGTTATCATCTCAAGGGATCGCAATTCTAAGACAGAAACAAGTCCATCAGGACAGTATCACCTCACCTTTTTCTGTGAAAATCTGGGAAACTTCACTAGATTATAGAACACAGAAAGGAGCGGGAGAGGTAAAGTGCCTTTACGGAAGTGGAGAACAAGGCAGGAGTGGATTGGAAGGGAATGAGAATTTTCGTCAGTGTCATTCTAAGAAACTTGGTGATGCTCAATGAATCAAAGCAAAGTGTCAAACCACTCAGTGAGGTAGCAAGCCATGCAGGCCTAGGGCAAGAACATTCTAAACGAGAACAGCATGTGCAAAGTTCTTTGGATCAGTAAGAAAACTGGTTTGCTAAAGGCAAAACAAGGCCAGCGTGTCAAAATAGTGCATCAGTGGGGGAAGATGGTAGAGACGCATGGCGCAGAATGGAAGAGGGAAGAGGTAGGTAGGGGCCAAGACACTCGAACCTCTAGCTGGCAGTGACGATCTGCATTCTTCAGGGGCATGCTTTGCAGAAGGCGGGGAACGTTTCTTCTGCCATGGACCATTTGGGTATGTTTCACACCACTTACAGGCCTTACACAACTATCAACTTCAAATCAGCCTGCTGGCGATTTACTGAATTCCAAGTCCCATCTGCAGTTGGTTGCCCTGCCAGGGCCAGAGCACATGAATTTGCCAGCCTGATGTTCTCCACCCCTGCTTTAGAGAAAAAGCTCAACAGTAACCGAGTTAGGGATTCTAAGTGATCATAACACAGAACTTAAACATTTCTTACTTTCACTATGGAGTAAGGGTAATTAAGTAGATTAAAAAAAAAAAAAAAACCTTCAGATCTATTTATGAACAGCAGGCGTTTCCAGGTGAGAACAGAACCACACACGCACACACATTCTATACCTAGAACGAAGGGCTCAGGCTGTGATTGATTAAAGTGCCGTGGCGCACACAAACTGAACAGGCCTAGTAATATGGTCAAGATGCAATGTGTACACCCAGCCACGCGTGTGCCTCTTCACTACCATCTGCAATCCTTCCTCCTCTGATTGCAAGAGGATGCTCAAGCCGTGAGGTGTCTTGTGAACGCTTAGGAAGCTGAACTAGAGTTGGAAAGGAAAGAGCAAAGACAGAGGGGAGGGTACCTTTAAAGAGAAGAAGGCAAGGAATAATTTCTCCAGACCCAAGTCACAATCAGGATGCTGGAATCCTTGACTGGTGAAAGGAGCTCGCTGCCCACCCGCGTCGGGGTGGAGTAAGGGTTGGCAAACTAGGTCACGCCCAGGGAGACAACCGGGAAGCCCCGAGGCCAAAGCCTCTAACGTTCGGGAACTAATACTTCACAGGGACACCACAGTTTTGGGAACAGCCCCAGAGAAGGACAAGGGGAAAACATCTGCTGGGAACACAGTGAGATTAGCTAGTTGGATGTATTAGAAAAAGGGATATTTAACTCAAGACTTGATACTTTTCAAGTATTGAAGTCAACAGTAAGTGGGACATTACTTGTACACTGGAGTGTATCAAATAAGACCCAAACAGTACAATAAACTGGAAAAACAACACAAAATGAAACAAATAGCAGTTATAATACACTCAACTCTAAGGCAAGATTAAAAATGTCGAGGAAAATCCCTAATGAGTTGATTTTTAGTCACCCGGGACTATTTTTGTCCTTAGTATCCTTTCTTGGACAAGCCCCCACTCCAGCTTGACAGTGGGAGGTCTAAACTTAGCCCTGATCATGAACTGGACAGCTGTCACTTCTTTGGCCCTTTTCAGTTAAACACTGGGTCCTGAACAGTTCAAACTATGGACCGTTACGGACCATAACAGGGCTTCTGTCCCTCAAGAAACTTAACTCGCTTACTGCTGTGGCTGAGAGGGGTATGGCCAGTTCATCCCACTAACAACAGCTAGCCAGAAGGGAGGGGAAGGTATGAATGAAGATTTCCCTTTAGATAACTCCATGGTGAACCTGCTAACGCTGGGCTCCATCTACGACCAGCCGCTATTTTATCCAATTTCTAGGGGAGCTCCTCAAACAGATGCTTTGCATTCTTAGTTTTACTAAGAATGGGTCTCATTCTTGGATGTTCCCCAGTTAGCTAAAGGTACTCTGAGGTAGTGGTTCTTCTGTCTTGGTTCCAAGACTGTATGTAGCGTCTGTGTCTTTCAACTGGGACAAGGAACCACGGCACTCCCGTGACTAGTTCCACCTTCCAGGTTTCCATTCATGCCACAGACTCGCAGCCTGACACCTGGGCTTTCAGAAACAGGTTATTTTACAACAGCATGGCAGAGGCACTTCTTGGAGCTCAGGAGCAAATGGACTAGTTTATGACACACACATCCTAGTCGGACTCAAGTTCATAGTGAAATCTTAACACAGAAAAAAAGTTAAAATAAATTAAATACCTCAATAACTACATACATTCTATACTCGGAAGAAGTTTCAAGCTTAGAAGTAACACAAAATATCAAAATAATAAATAGGTCTATACATTTTCCCCCTCTCTCTCATACAGAAATACCTTTCATGTGATAAGCCAGATAATATGAAAACCGAGTGATACATTAAAAACTCAAAACTCAGCTCTACCAATGCTGAATATGCATGAGTATAACATACAAAACTTCAAGTAATCATTGAGCTTCACCATTTTGGATGCTACTGAATGTATGTTTAAATTTCTGTCTGCATGGGCATATATATATATATATATATATATTTGGACTGGAATGCTCTTCAGATTTTCCAAAATCTCAATTAGTGGGGGTTTTTTGACATTCTGCTTTTAGACCTGGGCGGTGACGGTGCACAGTCAGATGTGCTCACGGTAACAGAGGCTACTTGCTCTGACTCTGCTTGAGGAGGTTCCAGGGACACTTGAATGACAACTTTTGTTTCCGGAGGTAATCCTTCTAGCTGCTTAGGCATCTTAAACATTTGATGACACTGGGTCTTGTGCTCCATCTTCTCCTTGAAAGTCAGAAACTGTAGCCGGCATTTGGAGCACTGGTGAACAGTCCTCTCCCAGTGCCCCCTGTAATGACACATGTATGGTGATGCTGTTTTGAACATTTTGAGACAAAACGGACAAAGCAAGTTCTTGGTGTTCTCATGGCACGTTCTAAAATGAGTTTCCACATCCGCGAAGGCTGACGATCGGTAACTGCAAACCTGGCACACGTACGGCATCTCCCCCGGCTTATGGGTGTCCTTCATGTGTTGTAAGAGGACCTGATCTGTTTCAAAGGACAATTCACAGATTTTGCAAACGGCAGACGGCTCCTGGCTAGTGTGCACTCTTTCAATGTGACACTGCAGCAGGAAGGGGGTGGGAAACTTCCGGTGGCAGTGCTGACAGGTGGTGTGGCTCTCCCAGCTGTCACCCCTCTGCTTCTCAAGTTCCAAGTGGTGCCTCACGTGATTCATAAACTTAATGTTCTTGAGGACTTTCAAGCAGCTGAGGCATTTAAAGGTGGTATGAGTTTTCTGCTCGGACGGCCCATCTCCCTGATGCTGACCGTAGTAGAAGTCGTTCAGTAACATGATCAGGGTTTTTTTCTTGGGACCCGGGGCCTGATGTTGACTTGCTCCACTCGCACAGTCTGGTTTGGCCACGTCATTTTCCTTACCGACATTTACAGGCTTGGAATGGACACTATCCTTTGAAACAGCTGTTGGAAACGGCACTCCACTCTGAACAGGGTTTAATGAGGTCTGAGCACTGTCTGAGGGTGTGCTTTGCTGAGTATCCGAAGGGGAAGTACCTGCAGAAGATTCCTCCGTTCTATCGTTAAGTTTAGGCCTTTTAGGATCTGTGCCATTTACTTCCGAAGCAGAAGGCTGCTCTGACACACAAGGGCTTGCATTCTTACTTCCTACTGGGAGTGCTGCTTTTACTGGATTTGACAATGAACTTGTGAGTGTGACCAAAGGAGGGCATACCTTTGAAGAGCTATCAGGCACGACTTGTGGTGAATTCTTTTTACATTCCTGCTCAGGTTCAATAATAATAACAGGGCTGTCTGTTGATCTTGATTCAGGCTGAGGAGCAGGCAGCACGGTCACTGCTTCCGATGCCTGCGCCCCCTGACTTGCGGGCTGCTGCCTGCGAGCTAAGCCTCTTCTAAGGTGACCATACTTTTTTCTCCTCGAGCATGAACCTGGGGTGACTCTGTTCAAAATATTTGAGACAACTGGTTTTGATTTTGAAGTCACCCCCACAAAGATCAGTTCAGCATCTTTATTTACCTGCTCAACCCCAACAAAGATGATCTCGGCATCATCATCTCCTCCTGGCTTGGATTCTCTCATTCTCTTACGTGGTTCTTGCTCTTGGTCTTCACGTAGCATAAGTGGCTGTTCCATTTTCTAATTTCTTTTTTTCTGGAAGGATATGGCCACAAGTGCCTGTGCTTCTTTTACATAAATTGTCACCTAAGTACAAAACATAGAGTACAGAAAAATGCATTCTATTATTTAATTTTCCTCCAAAAATCCTAAGGTAATTGTAAGTATCCTTATTTTACCAAGACACTGGACTCATGGGAGATAAATGAGAAGTTAAACTCTGCGCTCCAAGGTCAGCTCTCTGTGACTATATAATCACAGTCTCACAGCCTTGCCCTCTACTAATTATGGTCTCTTCCATTTAGAGAATCTTCCAGTCATCAGGTGAAATCACGCAAAACGCGAGGGGTTTTGCACTAGCTTTGTTGGGCAGTGCTTCAGACAGATGGGCCTGGAGGACAGAATCAGGCTGGAATCCACAAGCCCTACATCGACTGCACCTTCTTCAGTAAGCATTTTACTTCTCAATGTGTATCAGTAACTTAAAAGGAAAAATTCTTATTTGTGAGATTTAAGAGGACAAACTATTCAATGGTATCTTGATCTATGGTAAAATGGGAGGCAAATTATATATCATGCAAAAAAAAAAAAAAGATAAACTATTGAAAATAAACACTTGGGTCTGATGTGGCAGCCCAGTGGCTTGTATTGCATGCACCAGGATCCCATATGGGAGCTGGTTTGTGTCCCAGCTGCTTCCCTTCCAGCTCCCTGCTTGTGGCCTGGGAAAGCACTCAACGATGACCCAAAGCCTCGGGATCCTATGCCCACATGGAAGACTCAAACAATCTCCAGGCTCTTGGCTTTGGATCAGCTCAGCTCTGACAATGGCAGCCACTTGGGCAGTAAAACAGCGGATGGAAGATCTTTCCGTCTCTCCTCTCTGTAAATCTGACTTTCCAATAAGAATAAATACATCTTTTAAAAAAGAAATACACAAAAATGGAAAAATACACCTGATGCATACAAATCCACTGAGTACTGATGCATGCATACTAATTTCATAATGAGGTGTCAAATATAGAGCCAGAGTATCTACACATGATTAACTAATAGCACGGCGCAAAGCCAATCGCAAACCATACACCAGGCAAAACGATGAAATTCTGTGATGATCTCATTGTGACTTGAGGCCCTAATAATCCATTCCCTGATGTCTATTAAAGAGCTCTTTCTGGTCCTCACTTCCCTAGTGAATATGAAATAATAGTTCTTCCCTCAGTCCATCACATTCTCTAACATGTGGCAGACAATGATTCTGTTAAAACCGTTTCAGATCGTACCAGCGCTCAGCTCAAAACCAACAACCTTGTTAGCCTTTCCCCTCCATGTTTCTAACCTTTTTGTCCTAAAGTTGTTCTCATTTTCCCCTTCTACCGCTGCAACTTCACTCAGCCACACTAACCTCCTTCATATTCCCTGAACATATGAAATCTATTAACTGCTTGGTCTCTAAGAATTAGCATTTTGTTGGATTCTTTCACTTTGTTTCTTTTACTCTATTAAAAAAAAAAACTATTGAAATGTTCCATCAAATTAATCACAGTACCTTATAAAAAATATTCTAAATAACATTTGGTATCATTCTAACTATTTAGATTTCTATTCTGTTCATATCCTCCCAGCCTCTAAATTTAGGCCTGCTCGTTGTTTCGTTGTTTACATACCTGTCATAGATTCCACACTGTTCTGTCTCTATCTCTCTGTCCTCCAGCTACACAGCATGCCACCACTGGATGGATCTTAGAGCACTACAGGAGTTACATGTCCTAAATGTCCTGATTCCTCCAAACTAGATTTTAGATTATGCTACAGGCTGAACTGCGTCTCCCTGCAATTTACCATGTGGAAGCCATAACCTCTAATATGATGATATTTAAAGATGAAGCCTTCTGGAATAAGGTTTAGCTGAGATGCTGAGGGCAGGAGCCTTACAGTGGGCTAGTGCCCCCAGAAAGAGATACCACTGACCTTGCTTCCTCTCTCTCTGCCATGTGAGGACACGGAGAGCAGTCATCCACGCGCCAGGAGGCAAAGCTTCAGTGGGAAATGCCTTGACCTTGGACTTTGCAGCTGCCAAACTGTAAGAAATAAATCTGTTTACACACACATACAAGCACACACACACACACGCCAGTAACACTGCTCAACTTTCACACAGCTGGTCTTGGTTGTATTTTAGGCTGCTGATTAACTCCTCATCCAATCGACCGTTCAAGGTGAGCAATGAGGATTGCAGAGGAATCAGAAATAAAACTGTCGAGTTAATGAATGTGTTCATTCAGAATAAGAGTAATATTAGGCCATAGGAGTTTTTTCTTCTTTAAAGATTAATTTTCATGTACTTTAAAGGCAGAGTTAAGAGAGAGGAGGACAGACACACACACACATACGGACCTGCCATCTGCTAGTTCACTCACCAAATGAATGCCTGCAATGGTCAAATTGGGCCAGAAGCCAGGAGAAACTTCTGGGTCTCCCATGTGGGTGCAGGAGCCTAAGCACTTGGATCACTTTCCATTGATTTCCCAGGTGCACCAGCAGGGAGCTGGCTCATTAGTGGAACAGCCAGGGCTTGAACCAGCACCCATATGGGATGCTAGCATCACAGGCCAAAGTTTAACCTACTATACCATGGTGCTGGCCTTAGGAGCTTTCTTATCACTTCTTTCCTAAGTATCCAGAGTCCCTTCTATACAAATGTCCATCAATGGGTCAATGGATAAACAACTATTTTCGGAAGTCCATACATGTGAAGAACTATGAGGTCTAAGAAGTTTGCTCTCAAAAATCAAGTTATAACCCCAAGGAAGTCGTTCGAGGCTATGGGAAGTCCCAAAAGCAGTACTGCTTTGCCAAGCCAAATAACAGGTCAACAGGAAATGACAGACCTCCATGGTTATTCCTATGCATTCAAGCAGTAGCACTTCCACTAGATCTTAGTAACAGCAACATCAGCTTTGCTTGGATATCAGGCCGTCTGAGACTCCTCTGGCACCCTGTCGCCTTCCTCGCGCTCTCATCATCCATCACTCTCTTTACTCCACTGCCAGCAGTCCAAGCTCCTGCCCTATTCCCCCGCTTTCTCATTCACAGTGCTCCTTGTCCCTTCCTCACCAGCACCTTCACGCATTTTCTGTCTCAGAATTTAATGCCAGGGCTGAAGTTGTAGCATAACAGCTAAAGTCACCACCTGCAGCACTGGCATCCCATTTGAGCACTGACTCCTGTTCCAGCTTCTCCACTTCTGATCCAGCTCCCTGTTAATGACCTGGAAAAGCAGAGGAAGGCAGCCCAAGTCACTGGGCTTCTGCTACCCACATGGGAGACCCAGGAGCAGCTCCTGGCTCCTGGCTTCTGACCAGCCCAACTCCGGCCATTGCAGCTATCTGGGGAGTGAACCTGTGCATAGTTCTTTTTGTCTCTCCTCTCTGCAGCAATGAACATCAAACAAAAACAAAAATGTTTATTTTAAAAAGTAGAGTTTAATAACCATTAAGCACAGAACTTTCAAGAAAACAAGCACTTTACAATAATCTTAAAGGTTCAGGAAACATTTGCATTCCATTATAGGGCAATTAATTGTAACAATTTTTAATAATTTTTTACTTCATAAACAAGCTCAGGATGGTAGTTGAGTATAAAACAGTAAATTAGCCGAAGATGTCAAGAAAGGGGCTGCTATTAAACCAAGCTAGTCCCGACTTCCACTATGAACAAGCCGGATGGATAAAAATAAAAAATTTACAGATCCCACACCCTGTTTCCACACGTGCTACCTCTGACCTCTTCTCCCTTAACTGTAACCTTCACTCAGTCAAGGTAACCACAATGGCTTTGTTTCTAGCTCCTTTATTCTCTCCCTGACAATCCTGTCCCCACTGCTGACACAAGGACATTTTACCTCCTTCAAAGTCACATCCAAATTCACCCTCTCCATCAAATCATCCTGGACCACTCCAAACTCTAAAACCATAGGGGGGTTGGAATTGTAACACAGTGAGTTAACACAGTGTGATGCTGGCATCCCAAGAATGCCAGTATTCCAATCCAGCTCCCTAAATGCATCTGGGAAGGCAATGGAAGGCAGCCCAAGTATCCTGATTCCTGCCAGCCACTTGGGAGACCGAAATGGAATTCCAGGATCCTGGCTTCAGCTGGCCTATTCCCAGCCAGTCCTAGCCATTGTGGCCATGTGGAGAGTGAATCGCTTTATGGGAGATTTTTGTTCTTCCTCTCTTTTTCTAACTTGCCTTTCAAATAAACAAATCATTAATTGTAAATAAACAAAACTATAATATTCTTACCTCTCCAACTTCTGAACCTCTAGCTCTGGCCACTGCGGCCACTTGAGTGAACCAGTGGATGGAAGATCTTGGTTTCTGTCTCTTCTTCTCTCTGGAAATCTGACTTTCCAAAAAAAAAAAAAAATTAGATCTTAAAAAAACAAATGTGGCACAAGGGGCCAGTGTAATGTTGCCCTGCAATGACAGTGGAGTCTTGTTCTTCTCTGCTTCCACTGCAGCTCCCTAATGATGCAACTGGAACGTCAGTACAAGGTGGAACGAGGTAGGCATATGGGAGACCAGGATGGAGTTCTGGTGCTCGGCTTTGGCCTGGCACAGAGCTGGCTGCTGCAGCCAGCAGGGATGTGAACCAGAACGTAGATGTTTCTCCCTCTCTCCCCCTCTCTTCCTTTTTTCTTTCAATCACTTCATACCCTGTCACTCAGCCTTTAAGCAAATAGATTTTTTTTTAAAAAAGACAGACTGTGGTACTAGCAATAAGGAGATAAGCATAGATCAGAGTGAAATTCAGAGTCCAGAATTAAATCAATATATAAACAGTCAATTGATTTTCTGCCAAATTACCAGACAGTTTTGAGGGAAACGGAATACCTTTCCAAAAAACAGTACAGGATGACTGGATAACCACATGGTGCTCCCTCACCTCATATATGCAAAATATAACTCAAAATGATCACAGGTTTAGATTAAGAGCTGCAACTAAAAAAGTACTTTGAAAATGACAA